TAAAAGAAATGCAAATCAAAACAACATTGAAATTCCACCTCACCCCAGTTAGAATGGCTATAATCAAGAAATCCAGTAACATCAGATGCTGGAGGGGATGTGGCCAAAAGGGAACCCTACTGCATTTTTGGTGGGAGTGTAAACTTGTTCAACCACCTTGGAAAGTAGTATGGAGGTTCCTCAAAAGATTACATATAGGGCTCCCCTATGACCCAGCAATCCTACTTTTAGGCATTTACCCAAGTGATCATAAACAAGGCCATACTAAAGCTACTAGCACAACTATGTTTATCACAGCATTATTTACTATAGCTAAGATATGGAACCAACCCAGATGCCCCTCAGTAGATGAATGGATCAATGGAATTCTAGGCCTCCATCAGAAAGAATGACACTGTCCCATTTGTTAGGAAATGGAAAGACTTGGAAAAAATTATATTAGTAAGCCAGGCTCAAAGAACATAGGTCCCTTGGGGCTGGGAAGGTGGCTCAGTGGTAAAGTGCTTGCCTTGCATGCATGAGGCCCTGGGTTCAATTCCTCAGCACCACATACGCAGAAAAAAGCTAGAAGTGGTGCTGTGGCTCAAGTGGTAGAGCGCTAGCCTTGAGCTGAAGAGCTGAGGGACAGCGCCCAGGCCCAGAGTTCAAGCCACATGACCAAAAAAAGGAACATAGGTCCCATGGTTTCCCTTATCTGCAATAACTAGTATATGTCTAGGACAAGCAGAAGAGGTCAAAAGCTATGTACATATGACCATATAATCTGATGCTAAGCAAAATGAACCCCAAGATAGGGACACAAGAGCTTTTATCTTTGTTGCTGTTCTTTTTAACGTACTTATAATGTACTATATGATTTTTTTTTGTTTCTTTGTATGCTCTTCCCCCATGATACAATCCCTGTTGTCACTGTAATTGATTCCGGCATCCTGCATCTTGTATATACATTTTTCTAATCTGGGGAAGGGAAGGGAAATAACAAAATGCTGAAATAAGGATACAGGATGACCCAGGATGGGATGTACAAGACAGTATGTTGAAAATGAATTTTACAACTTTGCAGGCCGGAGACTGGGGGGGTAGGAGAGTGGAGGGAGGAATTGGCGAGATGGGGAAGAATGGGATGGTAGGGAAAAAATAAAGGAGGGGGTAACAATGCTCAATAGGAAATGGACTCATTACCTTGCTCATGTAAGTGTAACCCCTCTGTACAGTATCTTTACAATAAAAAATATATATTAATTTTTTTAAAAAAGAACCAGCAGGATCAGCATCATCTGATAATATGTTAGAAATACAAAGACTTAGCTGGGTGTGGTAGTGCATGCTTGTAACCCCAGCTACTCAGGAGATGGAAGAAGGAAGATTGCAAATTCTAGGCTAACCTAGGTAAAGTTAGTGTGAGTCCCTATGTCAAATGCAAAACACAAGGTAGTAGAACGCTTGATAACATATATGAGATCCTGGATTCTATCCCTGGTTCTGAATAAAAGACAAAGAGAAGGGAAGGGAGAAAGAATTTCATCCCTGCCCCAAGGTGAACCTAAACTTCCCCTCTGGCTCAGACATCTACAGAGAACTTGTTCCTTCCTCTGCTCTTTCCACCCTTCAGGGAGTAGAGGCTTGGGTGAGAAAAGTCTTTCTTGAACAGCTTGGAGCAGAACCAAATGGCCACACATGATGCACCTTCAGGCGCTCCCCACAGCTCTGTCCTGACTCCTCTCTCTTGCTGCCTACCTCCCCACTAATCCTGAATTGCCCTAACCTGCTTGTACCCTAGCCTCCTCCCCACGGAACATTCCTAGGCGTTATCTAGTGCTTGCTTCCCTGTAAATTATCAGCATTCTCTCTATCCTGGAAGTTACTGACTTCTTACACTTCCTGACCAACTTGGCAATATGCTCCTGTTGAGGACCAACATGGTCCTACTAAGAGTATTAGAAAGAGTACAGGATCTGGGATCTGAGCCTAGCTCTGTCCTTGTCTTCAACAAAAGCTCTGACTATCACAATTGCTTTACTGGTGAACTAAACAGAGAAGTTAGCTACTGGTATGTGACAGAGGCCACTGCACATCGAGACATCAGAATAGCACAAGTCCTCTTCCATAATTAACCTGCGGTTGGTCTCCTGGAAGCTTCCAGGTAGGAGGGACGAGCAAGTGTTAGCAGTGCCAAGAACAGCCTCTTGTCCAAACTTGCAAACCAGAGAGCTGGAGCCCTTCTCCCACTCTCCTCCCTGCTGCCCACTAAAAGGCAGGCAGTACAGGGTCCCTTTGGAATCTTCTTGTCAGGATGTCATCAGACAGGCAGGTGCTCTGTTCCTGTTGTCTGTAAAATGACAGTAGCAAGTTCCTTGTACCAGTTCTGTTCTTGGACAATAGTATGAGAGTGATTTGTGGGCTGTTAAATGAAAAGTAGAGTCCCAGCCAAGAGGACAAAGTCCTCCACCTGTGACCATGGCAGACATGAGTAATTGATCATGCTGCTTTTTCTCTTTGGAGCAGGACACACTATTCAAGATACTTTATTTAAGACCACAGACTTGGTTCTCAAAACTAGCTACTCACTAGAATCCCTTCACTGCCTTTCAAAAAGATCCCAGTGAATGTGTGGGATACTCCAGGCAGCCTGACTCACATGGTTTGGGGGAGGAGCTCAGACGTCAGCATTTTAAAAATGATGAGATTATTTTTCAGCCGCTATAAAGAACCACTGCTCTTGGCAACCATTACCAAATCCCCTTATAGACTTATAAGATGTAGCCCAGTAGCCATCTTGCCTGCAACTTACTGTTACTATTTCCTAGCCCCAGATCTCTCACTTGGTTTCCAAATTATCCATCAAGTCCTCACTGGTCTGCCATTGGTCTAACCTTCACAGTGGGCTCTGGGGCTTGTGTGGTTCTCCTGTCTTCCACAAGTGACTCTAGGGAACAGCCCAGATTAACGCTCCCCATCCAGAAAACCCCTGTGAGCCCTGAGGAGCGAGGGAGGGAGGAGGTGATAGGAGAGGTCTTTACTTTCTCCCAAAGTCTGGGTGATAAACCACAAGTTACACCCCTAATTAGAGAATCTAGTCATCTCTTCAAGCCTCTTGGTTGGAAAGTTCTTCCTGCTTAACCAGTTGTTGCAAAGGGAAGCAGGAAGCAGAGTTAGCAGGTATGTGTGGAGAGGGCTTTACTGCAGAAATGGAGATGCCTGTGTCCCATGCTAGCAACACACATATGCACACAGATACACATGCACATGCTAGCAACACACACACAGATACACATGCACATGTGCTTGTTTTGTCAAAAGAAAGCAAACTTGTTGTTGAATCTTGATCAACTCACCTCTTCCACCTCCACCAGGCAGACATTGGTGTGGACTTCTGAGCTGAGGGAAGCTGGGAGTCTCTGGCTGATGGCTGCCTTCTGGGTGATAAAGATGTCTAACTTGGTTCTGTGACTTTGCCCCTCCCCCCAGCTACTAACCACTGCTCTGAACTTTCTAGCTGCCATCTCAGCCCATCCAAATCTTCCACCAGTTCTTCCATACCCTCTTCTTGCCTCCAGCCCCAGGCATGTCTGCTCTTCTATGTAACTGAAGCCCTCTGCCTCACCCCCAACAGCACTGTTAATATGGCAACCTTGAGAGTGGGCTGGTGTCCAGAGATTTTGGCTTTACACACCCTTGCCATAAATGTGCTGCTCCTCTCCTACCTCTACCTGCTTTGTAACCTGAACCAGAACTGGCTTAGAGAATCTGTCCTCTCTTTGCCTTCCTCCTACCCACTGGGTGGGAAAAGCCATCACAACAGTAGCTCTTTGCATCCATAGGCATGTGTCTGGGGAGGTGCTAACTGCACAGCTGCTGGAATCCAGAGCCCATCCCCATCCCATGGCAGCCCCCAGTCACTCGATTTCAGTCCTGCCTCAGCTTCTAACAACTCATTGTCCATCTTCCTCTTCCAGCCCAGGGTATGGGATTCTCACAAGTTCCACCCACTCCTGCTGACCCCCAGGAGGCCAGGCAAAGCAGAAAGAATAGGACAAATCCAGATACCTAAGACCCCAGCCTAGAGAGTGTTCAGTGTCCCTGTCAGGAACAGTCATTTCTGTCACTGGACTTTGTTCATCCTTCTGTTGAAAGCCACAGAGCAGATTGCATGCACATCCTCCCATAGCTCTCCCTCCTCTCTCTTATCCTCTTTCCCCTCCTCCCAGCCTCTACTCCATACCTCAAGCCCTGAAACCCTAACAAAGCTCCCTCCCTACTGCCATGTGTACTTTGGTGGGCTTTTTTTCTACTTTACCAAAGGGGAAAAAAAAGCTACAAACAGGCTGCAGAAGCAACACACAATGGCACACTTGTGTGTGACTGTTCCTATGTACATGCATATTGTTGGCATGTGTAGGTGTGGGGGATGTAAATGCATGTGCGCACACGTTTCTGTCAGCAATCAAATTGTAGTGTATGTGCACAATTTGAATACTCAGAGACCAACAATTGAGCTTGTGCTGTTTATTGAAGATGCAACAGGGAGGGCTTAGGAACACAGGAGAAGCAAACAATGTCCCCTCTTCTCTGTCTCTGGGTACAAGAGAGCAGAGAGAGACACTCTGAGCCATGCTTGTCCTACTCAGAATGAGAATGAGCCTGGGTGGAATGGGATGGCCACTCTTGGTTGGTTGTCCCTCAGTCCCCATCCTACACTCAGAGCCAGCTCTGGCCAGCTCTAGGCAGGAGCTGAGACAAAGCCCATCATGGGAGAGGTCTGAGTCCCAGACTCAGGGATCCAGGCAGAGGCTGGCAGGGCTAAGCAAATCCTGGGTATGTGCTGCCTATCCAGGCTCAGAAGACACCAGCTGCAGGAAGAAGTGAGATGGCCAAGGGCAAAGCCAAAGGCCGGGAGGCAGGAACAGCAGGGTGGGGCTGGGGCTGACAACAGGATAGAGGAAGACGCTGTGGGAGCCAGAGTTGGATCCACACAGGAGGAAGGCCATGAGCAGCCCTCTCTACCGACCACTCTTCTTGGAGGAGGCGCTCAGGCTGGTGCCCTTCCCCAGGGTATCCTTGTAATCACTGGACCGGCTCCTGCTCTCCCCGCCACGGACACTGCACACACCAGAGATGCAGCTGGTGCTGTTGGCCACATAGCCGCCGCTGACAGTGCTGGGCCGGAAGCCATAGCCGCTGCTGCCGCTGGTGCTGCTAATGATGGCTGCAGAGGAAGAGGTGGGGTTCACACTCAGGAAGAACTGAGTGGTTCTCCTTTCCCCAGGACGGACAGAACTCTTTAGGGACTCTGGTCACAATCACACTTCCCCTCTTGGTGAGACTAGCCCCAAGACACCTACCCCACGTCTTGTCCTTGACTTGCTCAGCTTATACCCCATGTGGCTGGGTCTTGCCTTACTTAAGCTCAGAGGCTTATCTCCTTGGTCCAGGTACCCATGTGCCTACCTGTCCTTCTGCCACCCTCCCATTGCCTGCACCTATTAACTCCTTGGCTAAGCCCCTAGCCTCTAGCATCTCTATCTTGCTAGCACACCAGATATGTCAGTTTCCCAAATATCTGATTTAACTCTTTTAGCCCTTCTGAGAAGTCTAGATCCAGTATTACCAGTTTGCGGTTCTCCCCTCCTCCCATTCTTGAATTCCCTCAACTTTCTTTAATTTTCCCCAGACAGGTCTGACTGCAACTTGTAGACCCAGCTTCTCTGGCCCTACACAGACCCATCATGCTCCTCTATCCCTCATGGTGATAACCACCTCCCCCTGCCGCCATCCCCTGATCATTCCAGGTAGGGAGAGAGGAGACCTGACTTTCAGTAGGCTCCGACATCTGGCTGTGTGACCTCAGGCAAAGTTTTCCTCTCCCTGACTTTTAGTTCCCTCCTCTACACTTTACACACATACAGGTATGTCTAAGCTCTTCCCAGCCTCCCAAGGTTACAGCTTTAGGTCAAAGGCTACAGATACTCACAGATGCTGACAGGGGATGGATATTCTCCCGACATTCTGTTAGGGAGAGAAGGTGAGAGAGAAGTCATTCCATCTACATTGTCCCCACCAGGCTTCAGAACCCAACAGGTCCCCATTCTACTCCAGGGTTTCTTTGGCACAAATAGAGCCTGAGAAGCTTTGGGGACCATCTCTGAATCTTTGGGGGTATGTGGGTAACAATCTTTGTCAAGTAATAGTTTGCAAAAACTGCATGTGTGCAGATAGCATGTCCATCTCCAGGCCCATACCCTTCCTATCTCCCTAGCACAAGAGGCTGGAATTGTGTTGCCAGCCTCAGTATGCAATTGGCCAGATAGAGAAGATGGAATGGGAGTGTGTAAAAGAAGAATGTAGAACAGTTCTGTGGGCAGAGAGGACAGTAGGATGGTCCTAGATACATCCAGGAAAGTTATAAGATTAAATGAGCTAATCTACACAGAATATTTCTTCACCCAGTACCTAGGATGAAGTAAATACTCTCAGCATGAGTGGACACTCCAGGCTACTGATTATGAACTGTTATTAGTATTCCTATCCTCACCATTCTATCACTACCCAGGAACTCATCTTTTCTGGATGAAGATGTGTTAGGCCCTCTCTCCTTCGGTTCTTCCAAGCTGATGGGGAAGTGCACACCCAGCTCACCTGCACTCCTCACTCTCCAGCAGCTTGCGATAGGTGGCGATCTCCATGTCCAGGGCCAGCTTCAGGCTCATGAGCTCCTGGTATTCACGCATCAACCGAGCCAGCTCATCCTTGGCCTGGTGCAGGGCACCCTCCAGGTCATCCAGCTTGGCCCGGGCATCCTTGAGTGCATTGTCTCCTCGCTGCTCAGCATCGGCAATGGCGGTCTCCAGGTTAGAAGCCTATAGAAGAAATTCAAGAAGTTAGAAAACTTTAGAAGTCATCGTAGAAACCATCTACAACCAAATTTCTTCCATTCTTGAAGCTCCTAGGCCACAGTTGCCCAGTCTCTACCCATACTTTGACTCTAGTTAGGGATGGAAGGGGCTAGCAAATCCTTCTCACACTCTACCTCCACACCCTGGGCTCAGATGTCTGTGTGATGGGAAATTCTAAATCCTGCCCTGAGATCATAGCCAAGTTGAGCCCCACTTCTGAACCTCACTTCAGTGCAAAGATATTTACAGAGCCACACTGTGCTAGAGAGAATAGGATAGGTGTCCCAGAGACATTCTGCTGCAGCTGTTGGTGGCATTGACTTCACTAGTCTTCTCTTCTGGCAGAGACCTGGAAGCCCAAGGCTCTCGGCCAAGTCCTGTGCCCTCCACCCTGCTCCCTTACCTGCTTCTTTGCATTCTCAATCTCTGAGCGGAGTCTCTGGATGAACCGATTGAGCTCTGTGATTTCATTCTTGGTGTTTTTGAGGTCATCTCCATGCCGGCCAGCTGCCAGCTGCAGCTCCTGGAACTGGGAACCCAAAAGCAAGGATAGAGCCATGGATGAGTCTAAGGATGTGTGGTTGAGGAAGTAAAGTCTCCTGAGAGCTATTTTTATGGGATCAGGGAATGGTGAATTCTGAGATGGACACTACCTCTTCTCTGGGCTCCATCAGGCTGTGGTTACCATGTCAGCCCAGCCTTAGCTAGCTCACCTTGGTCTGGTACAGGGCCTCAGCCTCAGCCTTGCTCTTCAGAGCGATGTCTTCATACTGAGCCCGGACCTCATCGATGATACTGTCCAGGTCCAAGTTGCGGTTGTTGTCCATGGATAGGATGACAGACATGTCACTGATGTGAGACTGGATCTGAGCCATCTCCTACAGGAAAGATGGAGGGATCTCTCAGTTTGACCATTGTCAGAAGCTGATGACCTTGGCCAAGCAAGGTCAGAAAGTTTTATTGATGTCATGTTGTGCTTGGAACCCAAGGCTGCCATATCCTTTGGCAAGTGTCCTGAGCTCCACTATCATGGAATGAGGCCTGTTTCCTTCTTCCCACTCACAAGATTGAGGCTAAGAAGCTTCTAGGGCTGAGATGAACCCTGGAGTCCTTTCTGGGACTGAGACCTCTTTCTCTCTCCAACCCACTGGGAATATTTTATCCCTTCCTATCTAAAGAATAGAGAGGGGACAGACTTACAGCTTCAAAGAGACACTTGAAGAACTTGATGTCCTGGTCCATGGAGTCCACCTTGGCCTGTAACTCGACCTTATTGGCATAAGCCGCATCCACATCCTGAAAGATATCCGAACCATCCCCAGGTCACCGCTGGTGCAGCCAAGAAGGCAATACCCATCCTAGCCTGACTTCCCCTTGGAGAAGTAGGCACCCTCTTCCCCTTGGGTGGCTCTTGGGGAAAGAAAGGACCAAACACCAAGCCCTGTCCCTCCTGAGAACCTGTTCCATTGAGAGCAATGGGGTAGGGAGCACCTGCCATTAGAAGCACACCTGTAACATCTGAGCCAGATCCCACAGCTGCAGAGGAGCCCCTATGTAACAGATCCTTTCCCCATTAGCCTTCCTTTCCTTTCACTCTTCTTCTCTTTGTCATGCCTTCTTTCTTTCTGTTTCTCTTTCTTTCTTTAAGTGCCAGTCCTAGGGCTGGAACTCTGAGGTCAGGGTGCTTGCTGTCTCTGAGCATTTTCACTCAAGGCTAGCATTCTACCCGTTGAATCACAGCCTCAATTCCACATTTTTACTGGTTCATTGGAGATAAAAGTCTCATACACTTTCCTGCCTAGATTGGCTTCAAACCATAATCCTCAGATCTCATCCTCCTGATAGCCAGGATTACAGGCGTGAGCCACAATGTGAAGCTCTGATTCCTTCCCCTAGAGAGCCTGTCACCATGATCTTCCTGCCTTCTCCTCACCAGGGAGTACCAGCGTGGTGGCCCATGGGAGAGCACACTGGCAGGTGTGGCCAGCACTGTCTTCTCCTCACCTTCTTGAGCAGCACAAACTCGTTCTCTGCAGCTGTCCGTCTGTTGATCTCCTCCTCGTACCTGTGGGAACACCAGGGCTTGTGGGATCCTGTCTCTCACTGAGATCCCTTCTTTGCTCTAGAAGGACCCTAAGGGAGAATCTATGCACCAGTCAGATGGCACAGAGGCTAGAAGACTGGACAGTGGAGCCAGCTAGGCCAGGAAGACTTCTTGGGGAGAGGACATGGTAGCCAACTCTGGAAAGAGATCACTGAAGATCTAGTTTGGAAGAGGAGGAAGAACATATGGAGTGTTCTACAGAAAAACTGCTGGGAAGTAGGCCAGCTACTCCCACCCCTACATGGGAGCAAAGCATTACAAACGATAGCGATCTCACATGCATTTCCCTCAGAGACTCCTCAGAGCAGCCTGGGAGGCAGATAAATGTATTCCTCTTTTCAAGTGAGGGCACAGGTCCTTGGAGAAAGTGAGACATTAACCTAAGGTTCCCACAGCTAATCTTCTGACCACTCTCCAGCACCCTGGACATTGGTCTTAAGTGTCAGACTAGAGGTGAAAGCAAGGAATATATTCCAGACTTCTACTTCTCATGCACAAGGATATTATCTTCCATAAGTTTAAGCCCGGGTGACAGCTGGGGACCAGCAGAGAGCCAGGGGAAATTGTCCATGGAAGGAGGAGACCCTCCTCTCTCACCTCTTCTTGTAGTCCTCCACCACGTCCCGTACGTTCCTCAGCTCCGAGTCCAGCCTCACCCGGTCCCCAGACAGGGTCTCCAGCTGCTTCCGCATGTTGCTGATGTAGCCTTCCAGGATGGGCTCCAGATTGTTCTTGCAGTTGTTCAGGTCCAACTGCTGCAGCAGCTCCCACTTGGTCTCCAACACCTGGTTCTGCTGCTCCAAGAAGCGCACCTGGAACCCAAAGCCCAGCTACGGTTGAGTCTCCAAGAGCATTGTACAAGGCACTCACTCTATGTCTTCTCCCTTGCTCCTCCCTGCATTTGTAAAAGGTGAGTGCATCATTAACCCCCAATGGAAAAGAAAGTAAGGCATGGAGAAATTGGGGGTTTGTCCAAGTTAATGGTGCCTAGAACTGAGCCCAGGCATGTGTTCCTGTACCCTATGTATCCAATTACTCATGGTCAACTTGGAGCAGTGAGTGACCATATCCAAAACACCAGGGCAGAGCCAGGCTGCCAGTCTGAAGAGGAAAGTCTGCTCTTCATCTAGGACATGTCAAAACTCAGTGAAGCTTAGAACATGTGCTTGAGGGTACTCCAGATTCCTACCTCAAGCCCTAACTCCTTCTTTGCTCAGAGTTGCTCCCTCTTTTCTTTGTCCTGCTCCTTATACCCATTTTTCCTAGCATGGGCACAGCATGTGGAGAAGGATGGACAGAGGGAGGTAGACCCTGGCTGGCCAGGAAACTCGCCAGAAGGTTCCATTTGCAGACACTTTTTTTTCTGCTCACTTCTTGTGAGCACAGCTGTATAACAAGGTTGTGTTCATAGGTCACGGGAATGTTGTCTGGATTTTGCCATTGAGATAGGATTATTCACCAAACAGCTTGTCTCTAGCAGGTGATCTACCATTTGGTTTGGATTAACTAATCCTGAGTTCCTCACACACCCTCCTCTGAGAGACCATAATGCACCGGGCACCACTGGAGCCAGCCGGATTGCAGATAAAACCTCACCAATCCTTTCTGGCTCCCTGAGGTAAGGATTGGCATTTTCCTGAAACTGAGATTACTTAGGAGCTATCTAGGTTCTGAGGCTTTTTCCTTCTACCTAAGGAAGTCCACCTTAGTGGTCCATCTTCCTACCTACCCTCCAGATTTATCAGCAGGGTTTCACCAGGCCAGCCAAGAGTCAACCAAGCTGCTCCCACTCCCAGATTCCTAGTCCTCAGAGCACCTTGATTGTCCAGACATGACAAGAAGCCACAGAACCATCCCTGGCCTCCAAGGCTGAGCAGAACAGAGATCAGGACTGTCCCAGGCACACAGGCTATAGCTGCAAGAGCAGGTGCACCTCTGTTGGCCCAGGCTTTGTCCAGGGCTGGCCCCACCTTGATGCCTGAATGGCATGGAGGCAAACAGAGCCCTCTAGTTTCTTTCCTGAAACCAGAGGCAGTTGGCTGAGGGTCTAAACTCACCCTCCTTGTGCTCCATACCTTGGAGCCATTGCTCTCTACATCTTTACTGAGTCAAAAGTTGGGGTAATCATCTCTTATCTACCAGATGTCAGGAGCCTATGTGAACAGGAAGGATCTTCCAGACCTACACTTGCTCTGCTTCTCAGCATCACTCTCCAAGATCCCAGAGATTAAAAAGAGATCACAACAATAACCATCATTTTTGCAGTACTGAGTATGGGCCAGTCATTATGACAAAATCTTTACATATATTTTCTTTTCTAAACTAGCCCAACCCCAAGAGAAGTAGGCTCTTTTCTCCATTTTAAGGATGAAGAGATAGAGACTCAGACAGGCCAAGTGACGTTCCTAAAGCGACAGAGCTGGTTAGTGGTGGGTCAGGATCAAGAATTAAGCCTGACTCCAAAGCATCTTGGAGTTTTCTTCCCACACAACACAACTCTACTTCTCAAGTGAGTCCTTAGCCACAGAATCACATGCCCATGGCAGAGCATCTGTCAAAGCACCTGAAATGACACGGAGGCTCTGGATCCACAGGTCAGGTAGTTGGTGGACCATGTCAGCATGTCACAGGAGGAGGGCAGGCCTCCTGGATACTTTGGGGCAGAGTCTCCTGCCAGCCTTTACTGAATACTGCCTGTCTGCATAGATTTAGCAATGGCACAACCTAGGCCTCAAGCGTAAGGATCAGGTTTCTCCCCTTCGGATCTCCCATAAGCTTCTGTGGGGCTGACTCTGCCTCTATTTTCTATCTGGAAAGACAGCACAAAACACCAAGATGACAGAAGGCATCTGCCATGTCCACCATAAACACCTACTTAATACCTAACCCCAATCCCTCTGTCATGTAACAAAACCTCATATTCCGAGAACAGAAGAGGAGAGCTATCTGCAAGATCCCTAGGTGCCTTTAGACCCACCTTGTCGATGAAGGAAGCAAACTTGTTGTTCAGAGCCTTGATCTGCTCCCGCTCTTGGGCCCGCACTTTCTGGATCTCAGGGTCCAGCTCCACATTGAGGGGGGCCAGGAGGCTCTCATTGACAGTGACCTGATGGATACCTCCAGGTGGGCACACAGCTGGGCATGTAGGCCCTAGGGCCACGCTGCCAAAGATGCTGCCAGCAAAGCCACTGGCCCGGCCCCGGCCAAATCCAAAACCTCCATTCTTTCCGCTGCTGCCAGCTACATTGAGGGAGATGCTCCGGGTGCCCCCAAGGCTGTAGAGGCTCCGGCTGCCAAAGCCCCCACTTAGCCCTTTGCCTCCTGCCCGGTAGGAGGACGAACTTCCCCCAGAGAGCACTGCAGAGCAGCCGCTGAAGCCCCTGTTGGTGGCAGCTCCCGACTTGCAGGTGAACTGGCGGCTCATGCTGCTGGTAGAGATGGAGCTCAGATGCAGGAGTGAGGAAGGCAAAGTCCCACAAGGGTTCTGTTGGCTGTGGTGAGAATCGACAGGTGCCTTTATATTCGTTTGGCACTGGGCTTGCGGATGGGCAGTTGAGAGCTTAATTCGTGGGTTTGGCTTGCCTGGGAGCAAGAAGTCATTTTCTCTGTGCTGAGCTAGAGATCGGGCCCTCCCCACCTCTGAAACAACATGAAACCATCAAATTGCTGGGCTTGCAAGCTTTGCTCATGTAATTTGGGTCTTATCTAATTAACCCGCTGTTATAAGGGTAATTTGCCTCAGGCCTCAGCCTCTCCAGGGGGATGTCACTGGCACCTCACCATGGCTATCCTGATGAATCTCTGGGTTGTTGGCTTCCTCTTGGGCTCAGGGAGCAGAGATGGCATGGGCTTCCTTGGACAGGACAGGCAACTGAGCAGAGGATCCGGGGATATCCACCATAGATGGGGCCTCCTTTCTAGAGAAGGACTGTCTGTTCGGGAAGCCACACACCCCAGGCCTCAAACACATATAACCCATAGAAATCAGTGGTTCATTCTCCTGGGTGGGAGGCGGGGGGAATCCTCTCCACCGATCAAGGCCTGGACAAGTTCAAAACCTCCTGCTACCACTAGCCACAGGATGAAGAGATTCTGTATCTGGCCTGGGACATGAGCTGCAGGTCACCACCCATAGCGTCTTTCTGCGTGCCTTCTGGAGAGCCCTATGTGTGACACTGTACCTCTCTGACACCCACTGTAACACAAGTGGGGGACAGTGGGAGGGAACCGGATCTACACTGGAGAGGATATGTATGCATACAGGAAGATAGAGCTGGGCAGGAAGAAGTAGAGGAGCTGGCTGTCCGGGGACTACAAGGACAGACCTCTCAGTGTGATTTGTTTCACCACTCTGGTCTCTCTTATGAGATATATCTTCTCTGAAACTCGGAGCTGCTTAAAAGACCCAAATCACCCTTTCTATGTTCAATTTTAAAAGCCACTGTCACCATGAGCCCCCATTCCCACGACCCAGGCCTGAGCAGCTGAGAACAGAAGCTGACTAGAACTCACCCCATAAGGCCAAGCCTCCCTGAACACATGCCATCCTGTTACACACAGTCCTACAGTGGCTGCCACAGAGCTTTTGCTGTCTTGCCTTTCCCGACTTACTGGTCCCTCCTAGAATCATCCTATTTAGCCCACACTCCTACCCAAAGACTCCTGCGTGGACCCTACGGTAAGGTAGGTACAGCTCTTGGCTGAGTAAGGGCACAAAGTAGCAGAGAGTCTAGAGACAGGCTGCTTGATTCACGATTGGCCTAGAATCCATGCTCATCTCTCCCCTACCTTCCTTCCCCGGCATTTCTCCCTCTGACCTGCCACTCTCTTTCCCAGCTTTGCTCCCCAACCCTCTGTATTTCCTCTTCTCCATCATCCCTCCATCTTCCTCTCTTTGCCTCTTGTTCTATTGTCCCCATCCTCAGGGACTTCCTGGATCAGAACAGCCTAGAACTGAGCTTTTCTCACTTCCCTCAGCCCTTAAAATATTGTTGGCTCTACAGGACGCTGACTCTGGGAGCAACTTCCACGATGTCTCTATGAAGGTCATGTCGTGTGTCACCTTCGTTTTCCTGTGTAAGGATGGTAAATGCTACTCCATAGTAGAGTCTTACTACTTCCTTTGTCCCTTCAGTCAAACCTCCCTGTGTGCCCACTGTGTGCCTTACACTGTGCCCAGTCTGGAGATAAAGGACTCTGTGGTGTGTTGCTAAAGACCTGCAAGCACTCTCAGTACACAGTCCTGGCACAGTGTCCTCCATTGATGGCTTTGTTGACTGTATGCTTCTCTGACATTCACAGCAGGACTCCAGCCCAGCCAGCCATATCCTGTGGCTGCTACTGCCCCTGTCATATCCCCAACACCCTTCTTCCTGAGTGGCTGAAACATCTTACCCCCTGGCCTCAACTTCAGCTACTTCTAACATCTGCCACATTGTTCTCACCTAACCCAGACCCCTTTTCTCCCCACCTCTCTCATCCCTATCCGTCTCTCATTTGAAACTCTGCCCCTGTCCTGCCCCCTCTTTGCTGCACCCTAGTTCCTCTGTCCATTGATACCTGTGTATCAGACTTTCTCCTGGGGTCTGGTGACACCTCCCTCTGAATCTTCCTTTGGGGCCTGGGATCAGCCTCTACACATCCCTTCCTGAGTTAAGAAAGCCTTGAACAGCTGCTGTTGGAGAAGCTGCCAACAAAGCAGAGATGGTGCCTTGAGCCTTCTGTTCCCAAATTCCCAAATTCCACTCCATATTCAACAGGGCAGCTTTGCTTAGCCTTTCTGAGCCTCAGCTCCCCATCAATAAAGGGGTCAATAAACACTAATATGGTAGTGGTGAAATGACACAGATACTCCCTAATTTGCACTTACTGTCCAGTAAACTGATGTCAATGACTAAAATGAGGGAACAGATGGATCCAGGGCTCAGCCATGCTGGCTCCCTGGTTCTTCTCCTTTGGGACATCTGGATCAGCACATTCCCACACAATGGCATCAGATGCTGAGGACAGGCAAGGGGTGTGTTCCCTCAGGCCCCAGACTCTCCACTCAGACCATCCCTGACACTGGAAAATATACTATCCACTGTCCAGCAAGTATTGCCAAATATATAACTCAGTGGGAAGCACGTTCCAAACGTCTGTTGGTATTGGGCCATTTATCAAATACATATTAAGTACTGATGGACGTGATCTGAAGTTTTCTACCCTCAAAGAACTAAGTCTGAGTCCCTACAAGTGACCCTGGGAGACGCAGCTCATCGGGTTATTAACAAGTCATTAACACCCTAGCATAAATTAGTTAATCAGATTCAGGCCATGAGGAATGAGACACAAGGTATTGTTGATGCAGATGATGATAGAGGAAGAAGCCCAGAGTTCTGGACTACCCACAGGAAGGGTGGGCCCAGACAGGACCTGGGCTTCTTGCACTTTGCTGGAGGGGAAAGGGAGGGAGCAAAAGACCAAGTTCACCAAAGGTACAAAGACTTCGTCCTTACTCCTGTTTGCAATCAGGACAGACTTGAGAGCAGGAGATAGGGTCCCTGCTGTAGGAGCCTCTTGACCTGGTTCTAGGAGGCCACCTGGAAGCTGCTATGTCCCAGCTTCCTGTCACTGACACCTTTCCCAGGCTTTCTGTGTAAGAACTGAGTTCTGCCAGGCTTGACCAGCCACGGATGTGTCTGAGCCAATTTTACTCATCTATGAAATCACTGGGGAGGATATGTAGGGTTAAACAATCAAACCTCAGGAACACCTAGCTTGAACATCTGAGGATAAATTAAATGGGTTGTTAACTAATTATAGCCATTGAGCTCTTGGCTTAATAACCAAAATGTTTTATGTGCTTTGGTGGTGTCGTCTCTACCTGTGGTTTAGGATTTGAGATGATGGTCAGTTTGACACATTTATGATCCCACGAATCTGGTTAGTACTTTTGTCCTCGCCTCTCTATGTTCTTTGGCCTAGTAAGCCTCCCAAGAGATGTTCTTAGAAGGTTAAGAGGACTTGGCACAGCATGAGAAGGCAATTGCTGAATGAACATAAGGGAAATAAATAAAAAAGAAGCGGGCTGGGAAGGTGGCTCAGTGGTAGAGCGCTTGCCTTGCATACATGAGGCCCTGGGTTCAATTCCTCAGCACCACATAAGCAAAAAAAAGGAAAAAGCCAGAAGTGGCACTGTGGCTCAAGTGGTAGAGCACTAGCCTTGAGCTGAAGAGCTGAGGGACAGCGCCCAGGCCCAGAGTTCAGGCCCCACGACCGGACCCCCCCGCCCCAAAAAAGCAAAATTTGGGGCTCTTAACTCCACAGGGGCCGCTTGTAGGAGGAGGCTTGCATTCAGTCTTTTCAGGGGAGAAGGCATGGCAACAAGAAGTTGGCATAGGAGCCCAAGTGGGCAGGAGGCAGGTCCTTTGTGAGGAAAATACCTAGCAGGCTGGAGCAATCATGAGAAGAGTAACCGTGAGTGGACTAGACCCAGGTTGTACATGTAACATGGAGCCACTGAAGACTCTTGAGCCTAGGGAAAGCCTAACCAATGCATGTTTGAAGAGGCAGAATGGAGCTGCTGTATGGGTCACTTCAGCGAGGGGGCGGTATGTGTGTATGGAATGGAGAGACATATAAAGAAAGAGTAGAAAATAATTGAGCAAAGTAATTGTCCCCAAAATTAGAGAGAATGAGCTAGACCATTTGAATGACCTCAGCCTAGGCTCTGCCAGACATCCTCAGCAGCTTGGCCTGGGACATGAGCTTTTAATCTCCAGAAGCTCTCTGTTCACACCCTATCTCTACCTGAAGCTTCAGGTAGATGGTTGGTGACAGGCCTTATGGACTACAGTCCCTAGAGGACTTGGCCTCCATCTGGGGCAGCCCAGGTGCTCAGCAGGCTTGCCACTGGAAGGTTGGAGGTAAGCTCACACTGAAGAGCTGGGGTGTAAAGGATAAGTAAGAGGGGGGGTCTCACATGGCATTCAGCTCCATGCCCACTACTGCAGAGAGGTGTCTTCCAGGGCCATCATGATTTCACACAGTTCCATGGCCAGGAGCACTTCCTGAGAGATTGGCTGACCATCTCCTTCCTCCAGTCCCACCCCATGCTTTCCATTAGAGTGTATGTTGCCTTGGGACTGAGGACCAAGGTCCTGGTCCTACTTTTGCCACTCACCAGCCATGTAACCTTGATTGTGGGGGGGGGGGGTCTCCTACCATGCAAAGCCTCTGTGTCCACATCTCCAAGAAGAGGGACAACAATACCCACCCCACTGACTCCCTAAGGTGAATGGAAGGCAGCTTGTAAATAACAATAACAATGATGATGATGATGACAATGATGATGATGATAAGGTAATACTCAGGCAGTGTTCTAAACACTCCACATACATTCATTCATTTGATCCTCACAACAGCCCTAGGAGGCTGGCACTATGATTACCTCCCAAATTGGCAAATGAGATACTGAGGCTTAAGGAAGT